AGTGTCAGCCCCAAATTTACTAATAAAAGAACTCAGTCCATGCCATCAATAAAAACATTGAACAGAACTGGCCCCAGCACAGACCCCTGAAGGACACCACTGGTGACAGGCCCCCAGCTGGATGCAGCACTGTTCACCACCACTCTCTGGCCTGGCCATCCAGCCAGTTCTGAACCAGCAAAGAGTGCTCCTGTCCAAGCCAGGGGCTGCAGATTTTCCAGGAGTGTTCTGTGGGAGACAGTGCCAAAGGCCCTGCTGAAGTCCAAACAGAGAACATCCACAGCCTTTTCTGCATCCACCAGGAGGGTCACCTGCTCATACAAGGAGACCAGGTTGGTCAAACACAACCTACCCCTCCTAAAGCCCTGCTGGCTGGGTCTGATACCCTGGCCAGCCTGTAAAAGCTGTGTGATGACACTCAGTATAAACTGTTCCAGAACCTTACCAGGTACTGAGGTCAGGCTGACAGGCCTGTGATTACCAGCATCCTCCTTCCTACCCTTTTTGTGAACTGGTCACATTGGCCAGCTTCCAGTCCTCTGGAACTTCCCCAGTGAGCCAGGACTACTGGTAAATGATTGGGAGCAGCTTCCTCATCTGCCAGCTCCCTCATCACCCTGGGATGGTTCCATCTGGTCCCATGGAGTTATGAACATCCAAGTGCTCAGCAGTTCTGACTGCCTCATCCTGGATAACAGGGGCGCCCTTCTGCTCCCTGACACCATCTGCCAGCACAGGAGGACAGTTGTACTGAGGACAAGCCATCTTCCCACTTAAGACTGAGGCAAAGAAGGTGTTAAGCCCTTCCACCTTCACCTCATCTGCAGTTCCCAGAGCTAGGTCCAGTACATCACTTTTATGCAATTTTTAAGAGATCAGGAGCATAGGAAAACTGAAACTTGCAAGAAAGGGATGTGTGACATATTAGAATAAAAATTTTTTTCCCAATTGTTGCCAAAAAATGCATATTAAATTAAGGCTATTATTGATTATTTATAGTCTCATTCTTCCCAGAAAGTGTCCTTCCCACTGTTTTATGGACCACATGAACTCAGTAACCACTTCTTTGAGCCCTGGGAGGTAAAAAGGAAGATTTGCAATGGTGGAGATCACTTGCTGAGTTTAGACAAAATACAGCTTTAGGTTTAAGAAGATTTAGTGAGAAAATGGAACCAACCACGAAATGTCAGATGAACGGTCTGTCTAGGTCAGTATATTGTATTCAGTAACACCAGTAGAGGATTCCTAAGAAAAAGTAGAAAGAAAATGAGAAATATATTACCCAAGAATTGACACCCAGCTTTTAGGTTTTTTGTTCTAAAATTTCCTGACCACAGTTGACATCTTTCTTTTAATAACCTAGATCATTTTTTCCTCTATTAATGTAGGCAATCAGTTCTGAACACCAGAAAACTTTTAATATCTGCAATAGCCTGTGGCAAGGAATTACATAGCTTAGCTCTGTGTGTGTTTTTGGTTTTTTTCTTTGTTTATTTTCGACCTGCCATAAGCAATTTCAACACATGTACATCAGTTTTAGAGTAGCTATGGGGAACATCCTGACATCTTAATTTTTTTTTCTTTTTTTGCCAAAATTTACCTCTATTTTATGCACTCTTGAATTTACCAGCACAGGATGGTTTCCAGAGTCTTTGAAATGCCCATGTTTTGTTATTTCTTTGATAATATATTGTTCTGAGTTGTCACATCAGTGCCTTACAAAGAGTCCCCTACCTTACATGCTGTTGGATGGCAAGTCAGCTTTGAATGAGTTGTCTTTGCAGCATCACCTTAAGCCATCGTTTTCTACCACATTGCCGTCACCCAAGATCTCCTTTGTTGAACTGCTTTTCATGTGAGTCTCTTCTGACTCGAGTATGTGAGTTTTTGTAAGGCATTGATGAGATCCTCCTCAGCTATATAAATTACCTTCTCTTTTGGTTTTTTTTTGCCAACATTCACCTTTTTTATTTTCTCATATTATAAATGTGCATTTTCCTAAAATTAACATCTTATCTCCTTCAACTACTGTGAGCACCTCTTTCATCTTTTCAGTACTACCTTCAGATTTCATTAAACTATTATCAATGCCCTCTCTGAGTGCTTATATAAAGAGACATTTAATAAAACTGTTTCTCATACTAATTTCCAGACAGACTGATGTTACTTGTTGCCTGTTACATTAACTGTTCTGGCTAGGTTATTACTGTAGCCCTATTCAAGCTAGTTCATACTCAGATTCAGCTAGAATTTTATAGGAATTTCAATAAAATACAAAGCAGTGATTTTTTTTTATCCCTACCTTCTCTCCATCTTTTATATTTTTATCAATAAGTAATAAAATTTATATTGGCAAAGTACAATCCTGTTTATGAAATGATGCAAAACAATCGTTATTTCTAGTTTACAGAAGAACTATTAGACATATCCTCTGATATTTTTTCACATGCTGAAACACACTGAAAATCAGTATCACAGAAAATTTATTGGAAGGTAAGATATCATTCCTGCCTAGATCTTGGAATATCTTGCTAGAGCCTAAATGTTAGATCAACTAAACCTAAATCAGCCTTAAAGCTAACTTAGTTGAATCAATATATACTATTGACAAACAGCCTTAAGCATCAATTGCAAATTAATTGCAATTTCACATTTATCTCCCAACAAATAAACTGATACAGAACAGAATTGAACCATAGTAGGTGACCTGTGTGGCTTTGAACCCATTTCATGGCAATACTTTAAAATTGTTGTAATTGTAATAATGTTACCAGTTACTCTTTCTCCTTTCTCATCTCTGTTGTACATAGATACCTGGTCCTTCCCCTTCCTCTCCTACGATCAACCATCTGATTCATGCACTCTTGGATCAGACACACACCAGCTGCCTGATTTCCCTTCATCTGAATTCTCTTCTTTCCTGGCAGATTGGTTCAGAAGGGAACCCACTACCACTCATAAATCAAGGAATTTTCTTGTCAGTTTTGATCCTGTATACCAGATTCTACTGTCTTCCAATACCTGATTTCCTCATTTGTATGTAGTCATATAAAACCTCTTTCTACCTTCAGAATGGATGTTCACACAAAGAAGAATTAGCTACAGGGAATTTTGTGTAAAAGGTTCCACTCACTGTTGATAGCTCACAAGTTCTCAGGTCCCTTCAGAGCATCAAACTGATGATTCAGTATATGAAAAAAAATCATGTGGACTTGAGTCATCGGGGCAGTAGAGTGAGATGATGATTGCAGACCACCTCAGTTAGGTTTCCACCCTTGTCTCTAACCCTACACTGCACACTAGTCCCTCAACCCAATTATTTTCACTAATCCCTGAAGCAAGCCCCCTATATCTTAGAACTCCTAAACCACATTCCCATGCACTAAACTCCTAGCTCTGACCCAACTCTGACCCAGTAGCTCTAACTCCAGCCTGTTTGGCCATTAAGAGGCAGAAGATGTGCAGGGATTGTGAGGTCATGGGGAAATCCCTGCTGCCTAATTAATCTTTACACAAAATGGCCTTATTCTCTTTGGATATGTGATGTAGGGTTCAGGTCACTTTATCTACATTGCAGAAAAAGTGGGATCCCAGCACGTAGTTTCTCAAACTGAAGTGAATGTTCCCAGATCCCTCAGCCTTCACTCTGTCACAAGGGACTAAACTATCTCTGCTTATTCACTGTTGATGGAAAAGAAGGCATGACTGAGTTCAGTGTTACAGAAAAAACAGTATGTTTGGGAAATAGCTGCTAATCTCTCTATAATACACTCAGGATGCAGTCAGTGATTAACACAGATGTGGATGATGTGATCTCTAATGTTATATATTAAATTCATACAACCTCTTTTTAAATTTTTTTACACCTATATATGGTCCAACTTGTGATGTGAAATTATTAGAAAGAAATAGTTATTCTTTCCACACGTCTGCATCTGCTTCAATGCCAAAAAATATTCTTTTCCCCTTCTAAGGGATTTGAACTTCAAAGTATAATTTCAAAAAATAACGAAGTTAATGGACAATGGTCTTAACACAGTGAACTACCTAAGTCAAGAAATAGCCAAGTCATGGGAGATCTGTCAAGAGAGTAGGTCAAGAGTCCTCACAGAAAGTTGACATTCTTGTTATTTAAAGTAATAAACAAATTTTTCTTCTTCTTTTTTTTTTTAATCCACTGGATCATTAATACAAGTCAGAGAAGAATTAAAGATTTCAGTCTGAAAGAACTAAAGTCACTAAAATGTTTGAAAAATTGTGCATAGGCTTTGAGAATGGTAATAAAAGAGGGAACAGTTTGATCAGGCAGGTAACCTACCACAGACAAAATGAGGGACATTAAGAGGGATGTTGTGGATTTAACATTTGTTGGTAGAGGATACTACAAATTGCAATCCTGACTGGAAGACAGGAACAGACCTTTTTGAGACGGTATACCTAGGTAATGAGACCACCAATCGGAGTGGTCAAGGAAACAAATATTTGTAGTAGATTACCTGAGAATGCAGATGGACTTGGAGTTATTGGAGTGAAACTGATTTTTCAAAAACACGTGGTCCTGTCTTGGAGGGAGGTCATCTACTTTCTTGAGTGAATTCATGTGTAGAACCCAGTCATTTGAGATATTCTGAAAAAGAATAGATCAGTTAATCACAACTCTTCCATCTGGCCTACTGATTATTAGGAAGAAAAAAACCTAAGTGAATAGTGCCAGCAAGAATTTAGGCTTTTTTTTCCAAAGCATTACAAGAACAGCAAAAGGCTGAAACATACTTAGAAAGCAAAAAAATCTTCTAAATGGCTTATTGGGAACATCAGTTAACACCACCCTTTGAACATGCTTTTGGCTTTATTCATAAAAGCACCACCAATTAGATTTTAACAGCAATATGGAGTATTACTGAAATATTACCATCTAATAAATACTGATCACAGCAGGAATTTTCTATTGCCATAATTACTCAAGTAAAGACTATTAGCACTACTTCCTCCGAGCTAAAACATCAAACATCTTTTACGTAATTTCATTTGCTTCAGACAGTAGTAAGTGTCAGCATCTTAATTAATTTATCCTTTTCTTTGACCAATTTCAAACTGTCCTTTCTTCCCACAAATTAACACCATATCATCCTAACTCCACTTGTTGTTAAATCTCAGAACAGCAATGCATGCAGCTATGGATGAAAGTAAGGGAGAATACTCAAAAAATTACCAACAACACCAAAACACCAAAATTTCATTCTTTCACAGTCTCTCTGGGCCACCTGTCAACCATTGTCAATTTTCTCCCTTATATCAGGTCAGTTTTAGATCCAAAGACTGTTTTGGTTCTTGAAGTCTTAAAGGCACTAATGCTAAAATATGTAGTTAGCATTAGTATCATGGACTGATGATAGAATTGAAATTGTAGTTTATTTGAACTCCAGGTGAGGCCAAAAAAATATTTTTAAAAACCTTTTTTCACTCTCTTGAAGGCAAAGTTTACTCCAAGAACAAACATGTAAATATGTTTTGAGCTTTTCAGCAAGTGACATCTTTGGAGGAATTATTCTGTGTATGAAATGTTTCAGTCTTGACACTTGCAAGGGTTCAGTTGTATGCTTACTTAAAAGAAAGAAAAATCCCTAGTGCTGCTACAGACCAGGCCCGAAGCACGGGGAAAAAATGGATTACTGAGTAATGGCACTCATTTTTTCCTTCCTATTCTAACCCAAACTCATGTCTTTAAAAAAAATGTATTTGTTTGTTTGTTTAAAATCTGTTATCAAACCTAAATACTTGGAAATGCATGAAATGTCAGAAATTGCTGCTAGTCTTCCAGAGATTGTCAAGGGTGGTAAAGACTTACTCCTCTCAATGGTCACATACAAAATTACTGTCTGCAGTTGGGATTACACAGAATAAATCAAGACAACTAAGCTAACTTTCTTGATTTGAAAAAAAAAAATCAGTTCTAACAACAAGCTAGTTCTCACATGTAGGCAGCATGGTGAGCAGTGTCCTTTATGAATGGGAATTTACAAATTCTTCAAAACCCTTTTTGTCTTCAAGGTAGTGATCGTGCACAGTAATTTGTTAAGAACACAGATTAGGCACAAGAACAAGAAGGTGGCTGAAGAAACAAGGTGCATCTTATATGAACTTTGCACAGCTTTCTGTGCATCCACATCACTTTCTAGAACATCAGTCCTCAGTTTTGCATAAAAATATGTATGTAATTAGGTGTTTTATCAAATCTTATCACATGGTTTCCTTCCTGCTCGGTCATGTTCTAGTCCTAGGGAGCAAACACTTCAAAAGGTGTATTGTCCAACTACCGAAATATATACTTAATACATCCAGGGCTGACCATTCTCTTCCATGACCTCAACATATACTAAGACACTAGCCTGTTCTATTGCAACCTCTTCCATCCCAAGCAACACTTGTTTCTGTGATACACATTAAATTGAGCACTTAATGAAATACAGAGATGAACACTGAGGTGTCTGACACAGATCATGCAAACAAGTGCTCTTATCTCTGGGCCACAAGCCCACCCTGTTCCAGCTTTGCTTCTTCTTCAGTCCTTTAGTGGACACTGGTCCAGTTTCAACAGAAGAGTGGAAGTCCAGAGCAGCATCATGATCCAGACTTTCAGGAAGCTGGAGAGAGGCTCAACTCACTACAGCTCCCAGCAAGATACTGGATTTCACAGCAATTGCACACTGTGTAGATTAGGACTCATAGCCAGCTGGCTAATACATGATCAGGATTAACAGCAATGAGACTGACTGAAAAGCATAAATTCTGTTACAGAATTAGAAATCAGAAAAATTGTTTATCATGCACTAGCTCTTAGGATAATATTTTAGGTTGTAGATCCAAGCAGAAAAGGTTATTTTTCTGATGTTATAAAGCAGTTGTATAATTCCTACAGAGACACAATTCCACACACTCCCTACTTAAAGCTCTTAGAATTAATTTTATGCTCTCCTTGCTCTTATCAACAACTTTCTAGACCTATTTGTATTTTTAACCACAAATCACATTTGCATTCGATGCAAATGATATGTGCATCACGTAGCTGCTGTTGTTGGCCCTTATAATAGTGTCATGGAAATGCACAAGAAATCTTTAAAAGCACACTGGCAGTAATTTTGGATTAGTCATAGTAGGAGTCTCCTAGTCTCCCCAACTGGAGAAGTAGAAGAAATAATCACCTTATCTTTACTAGTGTAAAGAGCATTAGAAATGCAGTACCTTTTGTTACTGAAACTACTTCTAAATCTAGTCAATCCAATATTGAAGCATTGTAGAAATTACCAGATACACTCATTTTAAAAAGCTCATCATCGATTACCTTTGACCCTTCAAAAATGAGTAAATAAAACTGAGATGCAGATATAAATTAAGAGACCAATTAAATTTTTACAGTACCCAATAGGTGAGAAGAGATAAATTGAATTCAGATACCCTTTGAATGGAAAACAAAAATGTTCCCATTCAGGGAATATCTACATTCAGTATTTTTTAAGAATAAAACCCATAACTAATCATCATAAATAGAATAAACAAGATGTTATAGAGTAAAATTAACAGAAAGGTCTCAGCACCAGAAAGGAGACACTTGTGGTGCAATTTTTGCAGAAAAAAATCTGTAGAATAAGAAAGGATTCAGTTAATAAATTATATTTAAATTTCACTTAGTTTTTCCTTTTAAGAGACAAAAATGCAAGCACTTTGTAGCCATCAGACAAAACCAGCTAGTGCATGTGAGCATTCAGTTCATGCAGAGAATGACTTTTGTCTGCAGCAGGCTTGGCAGTACAGTGCACATCACACTCTATTCTAGGAACTGCTACAATAGAGCCTCCACGCTCTCCCTTGGAAGGATACCAAGACACATAAAGAGATGGTGCTGATGTAGCTCTTTTAACAGAACACATCAGGAATAGTGGGTTTTTTGTTGGGTGTTTTGGTTTTTTTTGGTACTCCAGCTTTGATATTGAGCATAGAGAGAAGTAGTAAGTGGAAGTTTTCAGTACTACACTGGGCTCCCAGCTCTGCCCAGTCAACAAATTTGGGGCCACTCTATTCTTACACACTTGCTTAATGTGGATTGTTTATACTCTTGCCCCTCTTCTTGAACAATAAGTTGCTCAGCTGATGCTCATTTACTTCCCTGGTAGCTCTTACATTGCTCACCCTTTTCCACTGGAGTCATTACTAATTCTTACCTCCAGAGCAGAGCTAAGGACCTATCAAGGCTTCCGCTGCCAAAGCAGCAAAACTCATCCTGATGTTTGCCAGAGTAAGAGCTGGATGCAAATTACAGAAAGTTATTCTGCTGTAGCTTATTCCAAAGGAACTACATGAAAAATGGTACTGAACAGAAAAGAAACTAGGTCTTATAATAACAGTGTACTCTCAAGAGCTTAGGGCACTCAGGAATCAGAAGACCACTGATTGCAGCTATTTTTCTTTTCACTTATCTCTCACAACTATCTTCTATACATCTTTAGAGCTGTTCAGAAAGCTGTGGTGTAGAGTGTGGATTGGTGCCAAGGGTTAAGCAGAACACATAAGGTAGTACCTCTGAATTATCTCCAGCTGTGATTCTTTAACTCCTTAGCAGCACCGACAGCTGTCTTGTGCAGTGCTTCAAGCTCCCCTGTTTCTTTTTCAAGTTCTTATTTACTGGGAACTTCTCAGCCAATCAACTCAAGGAATGAAAGCTGTGAAAAGCCCATCACTTCAGCCCACTGTGTAGTTTCCATTGGCCAACAATGACAGATAGAAATAAATTTAAATTCTGTTTATTTCTTAAAGTATAAGGAGGTATTTTATTGTCAGTGCCATTTTCATTCCAAGTTTCCAAATCCTGCCTTAGTATTTGTCGTTAGTTGTGTTTCAAGTCTTACAAGAATTTCTGCAAGTAGTGGAGTAAGCTGTGTTTGCAGAGATCCCCACCCAAAAAACTAAACACAAGTGATCATCTTTGGTGCTGAAATACGGGCCAATTCTAACAATGTATTTGATAACTTATAACCATAGCATGGCAGAAACAAGGCAAACAGCTACCATCATTTCATCTCCTTGAAGAAAAAGAGCTTCATAAATGATTCTTCAACTCTTATCTTCAAGCCAGTAAACTTTATTAATTATTTATACAGCTATGTATGGTTGCCATAGTTGGTAGTTCAGCATGACTTCATTTGCACTAATTACCAAATATTACATACTACTTTTTCTGTCCAATAGTTTAACTCATTGCTTTTCTGCACTGCCCTCTATTCCTCGCTAATTATGTATCTGTGGAGACTGAAATGCAGCTTCCATTTGATCCTGTGATACCCTGTGCTTGTAATGTGTGGCTTCAAATGCAAGACACAAGCTCCTTTCTTTTTCAATACAAATATATCTTCTGAAATTTTTTATCTTGAACATGAAAGGGAGCAAAACCACTGCCCAAGCAATCAATCAGTGCTAAAAGACTAAGGTCCTGTTATCTTGACTGGACACATACATGGATAGGTGCTATCCCAGAAAAGATACTTCTTTCAAAAAATGTTGAAAGATTCTGTATTCTAAAAAAATGTAAAAATTCTTTAAATGCAAATATTTTTTAGTCTATAAGAAATTACT